AAGAATTGTGAATGACTTTATATGGAAATATTTAGTATGCAACCAGTCAAGTAGAATCTCGTCCCCACTCTACTCCTGTCAATCAGTATATGGCATGTAATGACAAGGCTCCATTTATCAATCATCCTGATAACCATTATTATATAATTTCCAACTGTGTTTTGAATCAGAAGGCAATAAGAAGCGGTGACTGCAGTTTATTAGTGGATAACACAGATAACAAAGTCATAAGCACATCGAGCGAATTGGACCAGAGAGGCGGATATTTGTCAGCGAGCAAATACCGAGACGAATTTACAGCCAAATCGAATAAGGCTCAGCTAGGCAAGGCAATGGCTAATAGGATCTAAATATATATATGCATAGAAAAGGGAATGACTCATCTATCTAGTGACACTTAATTGATTAACATTCAAACTAGAGAGAGACACGTGCATGGGCTGTCATGTGACCAAGCGTACACGTTTGTACAGAAATGATAGTGTTATAATAGTACAAAGAAATATGCGAAATATTCTTAATGGAATAACATTGTGTTAAATAAGTTAATAAAAAGGCTTGGCAAAAGTTAACCGTTGTCGAAATTGATTGTAAGAGAGTTGCTATAAGTGAAATGTCACTGAGCACTAGCAGATTAGTTCATCTGAGTGAATCGCTAGACGGCAGATTACTGGAATTTGATAGATTTATCGAATATCGTAACGATCAAAAATTACCAGAGTGGACTTTTCAAGCGCTTTTCTGTGCAAAGGCTTTTAAATAGTTTTTGGAACTCCTGCATGGAAACCATTCATTGTCTCCTTCGGTGTTAGCTGACAGACGACCAAGACTCTAGATGAACAGACTATGTTTACTGTACTCAATCGCAACCCTTATTCATCATGTACAAGAATGCTTTTTACATGAGACTTCTCCTCATACTTATAAGCAGGCCTCTCAGAAAAACCATGACACCAAGAAATAGCGCATCCTCCGGTGTCCAACCTTCGTTCACTTCTGATTTATTTTACATAGTACACCAAATCGTTTCCATAAGACTGCAAGGTACAAACTAAGGTTATGACTGAAGAATAGCTGTCTAGGTGGATTAGATACGTGCTCTTGCCCGGTTGAAACCAAACAAGGTAATTGGGTAAATGACGGTTCTAAAATTCGTTGTAGGGCCAGCGAAATGTCACTAAGCCCTAATCAAATCATCCGGCAGTTGGGTCATTGAACACCGAACAAATCATCGATCCTCGTCAAGGTCAAGGACAACCAACACACATCAGTTTGTAGCGTGTTGTCGAGTTGGGATTAACTATGAACACCGCTACAGAGAAACACGTTCCAAGTAAATCAGAAGGCGAAGGTTGAACGTAACCAAATAAATCCATAAAATCCCCGAGAAGCCAAATATCAGAAGGCAGTTAATGGACCAAATCGAGATATATTTGCTGGCGATCTTGTGGTATCGAAAGGATACCGAGATCGTGCCAGGATACAAGCTTGGTTACAAAACGTAACCGAGTTCGCGCGAAGCCACAATCAAAGTGCAAGAATAAGAATGGAAGTACAAAATGGCTGTCATTAGCACAGTCAAACAAAATCACATTAAAATAAACACTGGTACAGTTGGTTATAATAATAATTGTTTTTATTAAACCAGTCGTGTTCTCGTGATAAATGTGAGTCACTACAAGTCAATGGTACGCCATGGACTGGCCCACGCGGTGGCGGTCTTACTTTCGCTTTTATCTACTTTAAATAATATACTTCTGTAATAACGTCCTCCGTGTTGTATAGTTTTGAAAGCATCTATAGTACCTTGGTACGTCAATGGGGTAGTCCACGCAAGGTGCTGACCACGAGATGTGACTTCGACGTTAGTTGGTTCGTCATACCATTCCCGTCTAACTCGAGTAGGTCTCCAATCATTTGACTCAGATCATCTACATTGGTGATCTACATCATCATAAATTTAAATGCATATTATTACTTAAACAAATATGACCACCCAGATATCCAACCAATAATTATTCAAATAATCAAATCTTAATTACAATAAATAAGGAAGTTGATAAAGGATGCGAGAAAATTACCAGTCGCAACAAATAAATGTTATTCTATCCTGTCTGGATAGACCACGCACAGATTCGTTCATAAGATAATATTTGTTTGCTTTATAACACAGAGTGCTTCCAATTCTGGAAGAGTGCCTCAGCTCACAATCAAAAATGCACGATTCCGGTCAATACAAGCAACACAACCAAAAAAGGGAGGGCAAACCAATATGGCTGCCAACAAGATCAAGTATCAAGTAAAACAACACAAATGCAGTTCAGGAAGAAACACGGAAACTCGGTTAATGCCGTGGACATTCCCGTCAACGGCTCACATCAGTTGCGTTTTTTGCTTTGAATTCCGCAGTTTAATGAGATTTCTGCATCATTTTTGTCTTTATTGATAAACAAAATATTAGGTTGGACCGGCGTAAGTCCTTTCGGGTTGTTTTCCGATGAAGACCTGGCTACTTCTTGAAGATATTTACTAATGAGGTTGATGCCACTTGTTCAAGCGCTCTAGTCGTTCACCACTTGATTAGAAAAATGTGATCAAAGGAGAAGGTTCGGGTGTTTTAAGCGCTTTTAGCACTGTTAGTTACCTCTCTAATTATCTCCACTAATATTTCCCACTAAGCACATCATAGTTGCTTTTGCTATACGTATTTGCGTTTATAGACTAGCCTACCAACTTAGTTGCTATCGACGTCTAATATAGTTAAACCCATATGATATATCAAAGCTACATCACTAAGATATTATCGTAGTACACTAATGTGACAACTTGAGTAGAACTTAGTTATTAGTCATACGAATAGCTGTTCAGTCTACTTTAAAACTAAGCTCAGTTTTCTGCACCCTGACTTGTAATTGTTGTAACGTGAGGACTGCAGATTTGTACGCAGCGTAGTTATCGATCGGATCAGTGACACGTAAAACACGTACGAACGACCTACAGTCCCGATTGGCCCTGCTTCGATGTCTAGCCCAGCCAGTTGAGTCCAGAAAACAAGTCTCAGCCTCTGAGATATGAATCATTATATTTCAGACATACTCTTTTTTAGAAGAACGTAGCCAAATCGTTCGCTTTGGATCTTGCTACTCTAAACCTGTGAATGTAACCAGTGGGTTTATACAAGGAAGTGTGGTTGGTCCATTACTCTTTCTCCTTTTTATCAATGACCTGTGATCCCTCTTTCAGTATGGTAAGCCTTTCCTTTTTGCTGATGACCTGAAAGTAGTTTATTCATTCTCTTCTCCCACAAAAGAAAGCTATATTTGAGCGGTAATCCAAGAGGAAATAAACAAGTTGTACAAATGGACTGTTTCGTGGAATTTGCCACTTAATGTTGACAAAAGTGGATTTATTCACATTGGTCGCTGCCTTAACTTAAATCTGACTGTACACACACATACACTCAAACCTCTCAACACTGTTCGTGACCTGGGTTTAAGATATAGCAACAGTCTGAACTTTTCTGAGCACATTGCATCTCAAGTATCCAAAGCTAGAAAGCTGATCGGATTGATAATGCTAAACTTTAATAATATCGAATCGAGATTGTTATTATACAGAAAATGTATCTTACCGATTGTTGAATATGGTATTGTAGTTTACAGTAATTGCAGACATAATGACCTGATTAAAATTGAAGGTGTTCAAAAAAGGTTCACCAAAGCTGTTCTGGGGTATTCTGATAACAAAGACTATCACCAAAGATGTCAACAACTCAACTTAGAACCTCTTTGGATCAGACGTATCAAATTAAAACTTGTCTTTATCTACCGGCTTATTAACGGTATTTCCTACTCTTCGGTATCCACCCCTTCATACCTTATGATATCATCCCACAATCTACGCAATAAGTAGAATATTCTAGCGATTCCAAGGGCCCACACAAACTTACGTCAGAGTTTTTTCCTTATTCGCTACTCAACCATGTGGAACAGACTGTCAGTGAACCTCCGTTGCAGTGAAACTACAACCCGGTTCAAAAGTCTCCTTGATGATTTTCTTTCCGAAAGTGGATTATTTCACCTATTGAATATCAATGTATTCAACAATGATTTATACAAACAAGGTCCGTCATCCATTTAATTGCTTGAAAAGCAAAATAAAACCTTTAAATCTTTTCACGTCTATTTTATTTTATTTCTATTTATCTTAATATATGAAGTCTGCTTATGTTCGTTTCTATAATTATTACTGTTATTAATATCATTATTGTTCCCCCGACACATTAGATATTCCTTTTATATCTTCTTATCCTTCTAACATATTTAATTCCTGACTGTCCTTTGAAATTAATTGTGACTTTCATAGCATCATTCTTAATTATTATTGCACAAATATTTATATTAATATCCGGTTTCACTCTGTATACTATTACATAAATCTAAATGTATTCATCCGAGTGCTTTAACGGATTTTTATTTTATTTTTTCAATTGCTGGTTTCCTTCTGAGGTTGATATTCATTACGCAATTATTATTCTTATCATGGATGAAACTTTTCACTAGGTGTTCACTTCTTTTCTTTCTTCTCTCCCTCTAAATAAATATTATTCTTAAGATTACGAAGTTTGTAATTAAGACAATAACTTGTGTTACACTTAAATTAACTTCTCACACCCGTTTTATCTTCACTATGCATATGTGACTCAAACATATTGATATTTCGTTATCCTTTTCACTCAATTGAGACTTTCATCGCATCACTCCAAACTATGACTGCACAAACATTTATTCTAGCGTCATATCTTACTGCGATAATAAGTTTGTAGCGCGGCGTCGAGTTGAGATTAACTGTGAACACCGCTACCCAGATTTATTTCGTTGGCGATCTCGTGGTATTGAACGAATACCGAGATCGTGCCAAGAAGTGGTACAAGTGGAAGCAGAAGACAGGAGTACGTGCGAACAGTACCAAAAACCGCGGAACAATGATGGAAGGTGATGGAAGCACAAAATGGCTATAATTAGCACAGTTAAACAAAAGCACATTAAAACAAACACTGGTACAGTTGGTTATAATAATAATTGTTTTTATTAAACCAGTCGTGTTCTCGTGATAAATGTGAGTCACTACAGGAGCCCCCCGCTAGAAAGGGTTTACACTTTCGATAAATAGCGGTTTGAATCGTGGGACTGATCGGCTGACGAGCGATTGTAGGACGGAAGAATTGGCGAACAGGAAAGCGATCGTTGATCGTCGAGTTGCCAACGTAGGTCGTTTTCGGAGAACGGTACCAGGAGCGATGTGTTGTATTTATTGTTTGAGTTGGCATGCTACACCAGAGTGGTTTGTATCCAGAATCTGAAGATGGCGTTCGTAGGGGTGCGCACCAGAAACGCTGCAGACGTAGGACGAAACCACGTTGAGCCGATGAACCGGAGGCGACCATAACGACCAAGTTCGAGACCAAGCGTATGCCAAGTATTCGAAATCAAAATATCGACTGACTGCGTTGACAAGAGCATGGGTGGCCAGTCCAGCTTTCGCCAAAGTTGACTGAAGTCGACGGAACCAAACGGAGATGGTCGAAGGCGTGGGCTCAGGAAACAAAAAGAAAATCAAAAAAGAGAAGAGTGTAGCATGCGTGTAGTATAGGAATAATCCTACACCGTATCGTTTGTTAATTGTGCGGCTGGTCGCGGAAGCGTACGGGTAACCGTACTCGGCGACCGAAACGTGAGACGGTAGTCTCGTTCGCGTCGCGTGAGCCTGCAATCTCATCCGAAGTCAAGGGCGGCGTGGTCTGCTGATCTGGACGTGAGACTGTCGTCTCGTCCGTAGACGGTGCAGATGACGCATGCTGTTGACTGGGACGTGAGAGTGAGGTCTCAGGTGTATCTAGCGTGGGACCTGAAGATGGTTTGAGGATCCCGCTAGTAGGTTTGCTTGGTCTAGCATTGAATCTCAGGTTATCAGATAGGGCACTGTAATCGACGTGTGCTGGTTTGAGACGATCAATGCTGACGATCTCGACGCGGCCGTGTCGGTCAACCTTGAAGGTCTTTTCGTGACGAGCGATCACGCGAAAAGGGCCTTCGTAAGGTTGTTGCCAAGGTTTGCGTACCGAATCTACTCGTATGAAAACATGTGAACAGGTGGATAACTCTCGAGGGAGAGCGACCTGTCGATGTTGTATTCGAGTTGACACCGGAGGCAGCGTTCGCATGAATGCAGACAGTCGATGAACGTAGTCTGATTTAGCGAAATTAGGTCTGCTCCGTGGTGTGAAGAAGTCCCCGGGCAGACGCAATGTCGTGCCGTATACAAGTTCAGCGGCGGAACATTGGATATAATAATAATAATAATTTATTATCAAATAACAGTTTGTTACATGAGGCATGCCAGTTTACAGGCAAGATCAAATTGATACAAATGATACAATATTCACTGTAGTAAATTACATAGCTGGGTTGATAATTTATGAGATATGAATGTAGATGGTTTTAAGCAGTTCTACAGTTAGCGCGCTTCATGAAAGTTGCGTTGCAAATGTGCGACTGATGGTCAAGGATAGGTCCATTGAAGGTATGAGCTTCTAGAAATCGCAACCTTATGTCCCTTTGGAATATCCAAGGCTTTAAGGATGGTGCAGGATGAAGTCACCCGTTCCATATCTCAAGGGGGCTGAAAGAGGGAGCAAGTAAAGAAAACACGAGGGGCAGAGTAGCCAACATTCATGAAGGAATGTTCAAGGTATGATTACTCAGTCTAATTTTCTTTTATTAAGGTATTTGTTAAGAAATCGCATATCTGCCTTCAAGCTCGTTCGAATACCTAGTAGAACGAGCGGTAAGGTTTCGTACCAGTCGTCGTTTTCGTGTGCTCGAAGAGCACTTTTAAGTTGCCGGTGAAACCTTTCAACTAAACCGTTTGAAGCTGGATGGTAGGCGGTAGTGCGTATTCGTTCCGTACCAAGCAGCCGAGTAAGTGAGGAGAATAGTGCGGACTCAAATTGTTGTCCTCGGTCAGTCGTGACAGTCGAGGGACAACCATATAGAGCTATCCATCGTTCTACGAAGCGGTGAGCAACTGTCTCCGCCGTGATAGACGTGATGGGTATAGCTTCGGGCCATCTGGTGAAGCGGTCGATGCACGTGAGTATGTGATCATACCCGTGCGATGGTGGCAGTGGTCCTACAATGTCTAAGTGAACGTGATCGAAGCGAGCATCAGGCGTAGCGAATGTACCGAGGGGGGCGGCTACGTGCCTGTGCACTTTTGATCGTTGACATTGTAAGCATTGCTTAGCCCACATACGAACATCTTTATTCATGGACGGCCAGACGTATCGTGCAGCGATGAGGCGTAATGTAGCTGCGATACCTGGGTGAGATAATCCATGCAGGGCATCGAAAACGAGACGGCGATAAGCAGAGGGTACGATGGGTCGAGGAAGACCGGTAGAAGTATCACATAGAATGGTGCCAGAAGTCGTGGCTAGAGGTACTTCCTGATACTGAAGGGACGTAGAGTGTGGTGCTTTTGTACAGCTGGGATCGTTTGCTTGGGCAGCGGCCATAGCAGGAAGATCGAGCACCGGCAGGGTAACTGCATTCATTTGGATTCGTGATAGAGCATCGGCAACACAGTTCGACTTGCCTTGGATGTGACGAAGGTCTGTCGTGAACTGGGAGATATAGTCCAAATGTCTGCACTCTCGTGGTGAGTAGCGGTCAGACTTGGTATGCAAAGCATACGTTAAGGGCTTATGGTCGGTGAATAAAATGAATCGACGTCCTTCTACTGCGTGCCGAAAATGTTTGATGGCGCAGTAGGCTGCTAGCAGCTCGCGACCAAAAGCGCTATATCTCGTCTCCGTGGTAGTAAGGCGTCGTGAGAAAAACTCGAGAGGTTGCCAACTACCGGAGATGTTTTGTTGCATGACTGCTCCTATAGCAACATCGGATGCATCAACCGCTATACTAAGCGTGGCTGATGGATCGGGATGGGCGAGAAGAGTGGCTTGCGCAAGAGCCGTTTTGATTTCAGTGAATGCAGTACGTGCAGAATCGTTCATTTCCAATCTGCGTGGGTTGCCGCGTAGTAAGTCGGTTAGTGGTCGTAACCGTTCTGCCGCGTGTGGGATGAAACGACGGTAGAAGTTAACCAAACCGAGAAAAGCCTTCAGTTCCTTGAGTGAGGACGGCACGTTGTACTCCTTTATTGCTTGCACTTTGTCCTCACAAGGTAGAATACCCTCTTGCTTGATAACATGACCCAGAAATATGATTTCTCGTTTACCTAACTCGCATTTGTCTGGGTTAACTACTATTCCATTATCCGAAAGGCGTTGGAATAATAGCGTAAGATGTTGATAATGTTCATCTACGTTTGATGATGCGATTAGCAGGTCATCAATATAGACGTGAACAAAATCGAGGTCTCGTACAATGCTATCGATAAACCTTTGAAAAGTTTGAGCAGCATTCCGTAATCCAAATGGCATTCGTAGGAACTCAAACAAACCGAAAGGAGTCGTGATAGCAGTCTTTTCGATATCTTCAAGAGCGACTGGGATCTGATGATATGCTCGTACCAGATCGATCTTAGAAAAGATAGTCGTGCCCTTGAGCGATGCCGTGATGTCGTGTATGTGGGGGATGGGGTAGCTATCAAAGCGCGTAACTACGTTTAGAGCTCGGTAGTCGCCGCATGGTCTCCAACTAACCCCATCTTTTTTGCGCACCATGTGTAGAGGAGAGGCCCATGGACTGTGAGAAGGACGAATAATACCAGTAGCTAGTAAATTGTCAAACTCACGCTTAGCAAAAGCTAATTTGTCCGGTGCCAGTCGGCGAGGTCGTGCCGTGACTGGCGGTCCGCGGGTGACTATGTGGTGTACCACACGATTGGTCACCGATGGAAGCTCCTCGAGTGGTTTAGTGATTACGGGGAATTTCTCGAATAAAGCGTGGAATTTATCGTCACGCGAATAAAAAGTGCCCAGGATTCGGTACGCGTTCATGTGGGCTTTACAGCCCATGAATTTGCTGTTCGACGAAGTATCGATTAGCTGCAGCCTACGTGAATCGACAAGCAATTCATAGTGCTGTAGAAAATCGATACCTAGTATGGCTGTGGGAACATCAGCAATGATGAACGTCCACAGATACCGTCGTCGGTTGCCCAGGTTGACCGCGAGTTGTCGTGTACCGTAGGTAGGAATGACTGAGCCATTCGCAGCGCGTAGTCGAAGCACTGTGGCTTGTGACTTGCTGCTACCTCGTGGTACGACAGAAACTTGGGCCCCAGTGTCTACTAGGAACCTAGCGTTCGTGCGGTAATCGTGCACGTAGAATAGGCGACCAACCTGGGGTAAAGGGCCGGCGAGTACGGCCGCTTTTACTCGCCGGCGCTGGCGTTTCCCGCCTTGTATGAGCATGGTGCTCGACAACGGCGGGCGCCAGACCCGAAGGACCTATGGAACCAGCACCAACTGTCACTCGCTTCCGTAGCCGCCTTTCGGCGTGGCCTGGAAGATGCCCTTTTTGGGCGAGTGGTGACGGGTTTGCGAGAACTTGAGCGAGCTCGGGGGACGTAGGGTTGGGGTACGTTACAGCGATCTCGAAAACTAAGACGTGTGTGAATACACCCGGCCCTGTCACCATGAGCTGTGGAATGACCGGCGTCCATGTCTACTTTAGGACGTGCCGTCGAAGCGACTACATAGGTGTCTCTATTACTAGTCCTCGCCAAAATTTTGTCTGCTATGAGGGCTACCTGGTTAAGCGGTGAGTCCTCGAGCAGTGCCGTCACAGTAGGTTGGATATGGGCTGGTAGTGACTCGAGCCATAATTCCTTAACTATCTCCGAGTCTGATGCTGTTGGTCCTGCAAGAGATTGCAGGCGCGTGAGGTGATGGCTTGGTTTAGCGTCACCCAGGGGGTGACGTGCTAACAGGGTCCTCAATCGTTCCTCCCTCGATGGGAGGAAATGTCGGAGAATTGCCTCCTTGAGGCGGTCATAAACATTAGGCACGTTAGAATTGAGGACAACCTCACGAACAGCTACTAAATGGTCCCCGGGTAATGACTCGAGAGCGTAGGCGTATTTTTGCCTTTGGCTCGTGATGCGACGAGTCTCGAACTGAGACTCTAAAGCAGCAAACCAGACCTCAGGGTCGTGGGGGATAAATGATACAGGTCGAAAATGAATGGCCTGTACGTCTGAGTCTATAACATTAATAGTATTCTTATCGTTATCCGTCATGTCGTGTATATTATATATTAAAAATTAATATGAAAATATACGACAGACGTGGATAGATAAATAATAGACTCACCAAATTGACTTCTTTGGAAGATTTGACCCGAGGTTGAGGCGTGTTCCAAACTTTGGGATCACCAATGTAGCGTGGCGTCGAGTTGAGATTAACTGTGAACACCGCTACCCAGATTTATTTCGTTGGCGATCTCGTGGTATTGAACGAATACCGAGATCGTGCCAAGAAGTGGTACAAGTGGAAGCAGAAGACAGGAGTACGTGCGAACAGTACCAAAAACCGCGGAACAATGATGGAAGGTGATGGAAGCACAAAATGGCTATAATTAGCACAGTTAAACAAAAGCACATTAAAACAAACACTGGTACAGTTGGTTATAATAATAATTGTTTTTATTAAACCAGTCGTGTTCTCGTGATAAATGTGAGTCACTACAAGTTGTTTTGTCTTAATTATTTTTTGTTACTAATTTGACGATACAAACATAGTCGTTTGTTCTTGTTTTATGTTCATAAACACGCCAATTAAACTGTTTGCGTATTTCACGTCTCCTTTATTTCTATTCCCTTATTTTCTCCATTTCCTTCTTTAAACTCAATTCAATATTCTTCTCAATTACACAAACCCGATTTGTTACTAATAATATTCTACTATTACTCTAATTTTTTTTCAAATATGGCAAGTATAATGCTAACATTATTCAAAATTGTGTATTATTGCATTTTTTGAAGAAATCCGAAATGGTTTCTTCACAACACTTATGTACCCATAAGATGTTTGTGAATAATACCAACCAAACAGACCACATCGTACCATAGAATAGAAAACAACATTTGCACATTATTTAACAAGTGAAAGAAATATCGATTAATAGGGAATGTCCATTTAACATCCAAGGACACCATTAGACTTAACATGATAATTACTGGTATATTTTCCCGAATATCCTAACAGTAATATAATCACACAAATCTAATTCATTGAGTTTGCAAATAAAATTTAAATTTTCTAGCATCTATGAGTCCCCGGACCTGGATAAATTTCCAACCATCAAAAGTTTTAAGTAACTAGGAAAACAATATTTATTTCTTACCAGCTAAAGCCGGATCAACATCATGACCAGTTATTCATGATTGTTTCCGAATATCGCTGTAAAGCTTTGTCACAACTAAACAGTCACGTAATATGACTGGTAAATTAGTTGAAAATAATATCTAAAACCCGGTCTATAAATTGGCTGATCAGTGCCGCTAAATAGTACTGTTTTGTTATGGTTATCTTTGTCTAACGTAGATTATTTCAATGTATTTTTCTATCGCTCGCTCCTTTACTGAACCTATTAGGACCTTGTTAGTCTAATTGCGGGTTTTGTGACACAAAGATATGTGAAAGTCACCAGTGTGTGCAAATCTCCTGAGATCTGAAAGCGTCATCGTCGAAACTCTCCATCAATGATAAAATTTCACGTCATTATCATAGACGTGTGTTGGAAGTTGTACTCACCTTGGTTATAACTTATACGCTCCATAGTGATCACATGGACAGCACTCATAGTACATCATCTTACAAAGATTTATTAGGACAAAAACCTAACTCTTAACTAGTCTTTGAGTAGGTTTTCTTTTAGACATGTTAAGAAATAAAACAAGCACTTTGAAATTATTATGTGTATTTCCCGATCAGTTGCTGCTGCTATATTATTGACTTGTCTTTTACATTAAAATTGTCAGGAGGATTCGCATTAATCTCCAAGTGACCGCCAGTACACAGTAACCACGCTTTGTTTTGCAAATGCTACTGGTTCTCAGTCACAAGATCCTTGAGGCTGAAGGCACGATAACTAAGAAAATTTTTCAACATCTAACACCACAAAGGAGGTTAGCCATATAAGCGTCGTCACCCTAAGTATCTTTTTCCACTTCACATTACATACATTATCCTGTTACCAGCTCAATTGTGTTATTCAAAAGTGCTGAATATCATATTACTGATTATCGTGTAGGACGAGTCAATATAAACAATCATGTGACTTCCACGTGAGATCTCATAAAGTAGGTGGTCACATTATAGCAAATCTACATTCTTGGGATTAGATCTATCATTCCAGTAGTATTCGCTCCCAAAGGCTGATTATTCGAAGGTCCACCAACCGAAAGTTTTGTTCACAGACAGATTTCCAGTTTGGCCCTTGCAGCTTTTTTTCATTCTGTCTTCTAGAGAAATTTTGGGTTCTACTCTAGTGACTTCGGATGGAGATTTCGTTGTTCCTTTGACCCTGTGATTATTTTAAGTATAAATGGTCAGTATTGGACGATTTCGTTGTTCTTTATATAATTCTTTACAATTTTCCGGTTTGAGCTCTTGTATGATCATCTGCTAAGAAGCTATAAATGAATGCTACAACTTTTTTATAAATATTCGAATGTCTATTTTTTGATCGTGGTAGTCTGACATTGGTAAATTGTTTACAATAATATTCGATGCGATCAATCTTTCTCCAGTCATGCCAGATTTAACTCTAGTTTAACCATGGGGCTTTGGTGTAGTGTTTTATGACTCAGTCTGTCTATTAGTCTCGTACTTTTGTAAGGTCACATTGTTTGTGGAAACTGATCATATACTTGTTCTGACCGTTTTCATCTCTTTACTAGTTGTCATTCTAAATAGTCAGCCAAACTGCTTCCTGGTACTGTAATAGCTGATAGTTTTAGTAATCATACTGCCTTAGAATAAGTGTACCTATTTACAACCAAACATAAACTCCCAGTTATCTATCCAACACAGTGGGATTATCGCAACTAAGAAACTATGCTATGTACAGTGAGTGTTAATAGAGAACACTCTAGCTGGAAATCTTAGCGTCAGTCAATGTATTCACTATAAGGACAATTGGAGTTGAACCTTTTAGGACTTCATTTTGAAACACTAATTATAAAGGCATATCTAGCTTCATTAACTCAAACAATGGCAATTTTTCTCAAATCGAAATAAACTTGAGCATACGAACAAAAATAACAAGAACTTGTAACGCCAGATGCTAAAATGTTAAGCGTTTATCGATTACCTGCTGTTAGGATGAAAACGTTATATCCATAAGATAAGGTTAGCTTATTGATGCCACAAGTATTCGGAGTTTGACAACACCTTAACCAGTATCACCAGTAACACTTGTCGACCCAGTGAAACCAGAAGTCAGAAGCGAAGAATTCCGAAGATATATTTGATAGAATATCGATATATCGAGAAGTGACTAATCAAAGCTAACAGTTGTAGGAGATGTGAAGCACAGCGTACTCACTAGTGATCTTGTGCAGATGCGTGACTGAGAGCCTTCAGCTAGGTGAGTCCATTAAAACTAATGTGGTCAGCATAAAATGCTGAAGACTTAAAGAGACTGATAGGTCCTGTGTTCGAGTTTCGCTGGGCGGGATCGTGGATGCGTACTGCCGAGGAGTCCCACAACAGGACGAAACGGCCGTCCAGTGCTTCCGGGTTTTCCATGGTGATTTAGCTTCAATTGACTTGTAGCGTGGAGTCGAGTCGAAATTGACTATGAACACCGCTACATATAAACACGTGCCGAATAAATCCATAAAATCCACCGGAAGCCAAATATCAGAAGGCAGTTAATGGACCAAATCGAGATATATTCACTGGCGATCTCGTGGTATCGAAAGGATACCGAGATCGTGCCAGGATACAAGCTTGGTTACAAAACGTAACCGAATTCTCGCGAAATCACAATCAAAGTGTAAGAATGATGGATGCTTTTTAGCACAGTCAAACAAAAGCACATTAAAATAAACACTGGTACAATTGGTTATAATAATAATTGTTTTCAATAAACCAATCGTGTTCTCGTGATAAAAGTGAGTCATTACAGACTCATGATCTCAACTACTAAAATTACTTATAGGGCTATTGATTTTGGGGACCTATTTACGGCTACCACTTCGACATATATTTTATCTAGGCATTATCTAAGCAATTTATATTTTCTTATAATGAATAGTGAAACGTTTGTGCGTTAAGTAGATTGAATTTACTCTCTGCTTGGTCTCCGTGTTGTGCAACAAATGATAAGATCAAAATCTTAAGGTCTTTTTTGACTTGGTTGATTAAAGAGGGAGTAAAACGTTGTCCAAAAAAAACTAGAAGGGAATTACTTCAGTCATCTCAAAGCGACAACATTCATCTAGACCATTTTTCCTTCAGCAGTTATGGAAAGGATTTATGAATGTATCTCTCTCTGACAGTCCGCTTGAAAAATCTGTTCACTTTGAAATCCAGTATGACTTCTTGGTGGATTGTGTATCCCATACTTGTTGAAAAGTTAAACAACATCAATGGGGTACGACCGTTTGTGTAAATCAGACTCCGAGATAAACAAACAAAGTCGTAATCTAACTACTACAAAAATGACACACTACTGACAAAAGGAAATAATTAAAAGTGGTTGAAGCGCCTTCAAACATCAGTATCCGTTAAAAGTAATGTAATGTAATAATATTAATTGTATTATATGAGACAGAAATTCCTAGCCTCTTCTGTAATATACTTATATAGTTATAAATGAACCAGAACTTGAAGTCTAGAAAATATCACAAACACATATTAATTTATTGTATGAAGGTCATGGTCGTGAATTTGTACGCCCAATTATTCTGTTTATTTATGTGACTATGTGGTCAGCTTGATCGTTATTGATTGATCTAGGTAGAGTCATCTCTGTTTTCTTTCGAAGCATTCGGAAATAGGCAAGTTATCTATCCGCCAGATAATTTCAATCACAGGATTGATCTCCATTTTTTAAACCATTATGGATGACCTCCTTGCTAATTTTCTTTTTTTTAAATGATGTTTCTGGAGTCATTTCTATTTCACTCTACAAAATACGTGCTATTTGAGTGATGTTTTACATATTTGAACGTCATTTCCTTATCAAACAAACTGATTACATCATTACCTGTTAGACCCTCCAAACTTTTGAACAGATTATCATTTCCTAGTTCACTTTATATATAATTACTGCCCACTAACTATAAACTAAATGGAATCCCTATCCAATGCTCCTTGGCTTTTACTAATTATCGAGCTGAAATAACTTCCTGATATCAACTATCTTCAAAATGAAACATTTTTTCAAGTATTTAATCCTATTTTCTTTATTGAATCCTTTGTTCACTTTACTTTACTCAGCTTCAATTCTCATTAGAAAAAGATATGAAAAGGATGGATAACAAATGGAAAAGATTGCCCAAAACACGGTTGGATGGCGAGTACTAGCGGGCAGCCTGTGCTCCTCCACGAGGAGTAACATGTATTATAAAAGACGTATAAGAAGTTAGATGGTGGTTGGAGGTAGTCGACAGGAAACCCTGGACCCAGGTTTCGTGCTACTTGGCACTCGTCAGGAAGATGTACCTGTAATCTTGAGAGAACTGGTGCTGCCTGGCAGATTCGATTCCGTGTCACCCAACTTCACAGTCAGAGACGTTACCACTGAGCTATCCGAGCCGGACTGAGATGTAATCACAATTGACTGATCACTGGGTGGTGATCAATGTCATGTATGTCTAGTCCTTATTAGTGCGGATCGAATGCACCATCTAATCTCAATACACAGTGCCCGGAATGTCGAGTCTCCTAGACTGGTGGCCACATTGCAACATAGTCGATAGCATTCGATTAAAATAAAGCATTTAACAGTAAACCGACGTATTATTCATCTATCACTATGAACAATAATTTACTTAGAATTACATAGTTCACACTTGTACTATAACACACACAATTAACAGGAAATGGAATATTCGTTTGTAATAATACATACAACGCCTGGAGTCCCTCTGGGGGCCACTGCCAGTCCCAAGCCCGGATAAAGGAGGAGGGTTGGGTATGGGGTTAGCGACCTCATCCCGTGGAAAAACTAACTCGCTAAAAAACGCTAACCAGTAATAATATATACAAAGTAATTTGATTAGCCTACATCATTTTACACAACAACCAAAAAAAAAGAAAAAAAAACATACCAAAATAAATTGTCTGGTAGACACAAAAGTTACACATGTCTATTCATTTCTGTCTATCAAAAACTCATTGAAAGTTCATGGTTTATACTGTGCATACATTCACACACACACACACCGATATATAGATTATACACACAAATTCTCACTGTTCTTTTGATAGGATAAACAGTTTTATTTCATTTTTCTTTCTTCTTTTTTTTCTGTTGTTTATCTTCTTTTTCTTTTCTCATTAACAAACTATCATTACATTAACTAATCAGAAATTTCCACTATAAATTCACATGATTTAAAACATAACATAACATAATGTGCTATTTTAAACAAGTAGGCGTTCAATTGGGAAAATATTTTATACACACACATACACATTAGCATGAATTCTAATTGGTTTATTGTTTTTTTTTGGTTATACTTCACTTTTGATTGATTACTTTTCTTGAATATCTATATGGATAGGGTGTGTTCATCTCTCTCTCTCTCTTTGTCGCTAGCGTACGCGCACGCGCAAGCACACTCGTATGTGCTCTCTCTCTTGCACACACACACACACATACACACTCTTGTATACACATACAATTAGGATAAATTCAGTTTGTTATTTGCTTCTTTCAAATATACAACATTAGATAGATAATAGAAAACTTTCTACGTCAAATATTTGATAGATCTAGCACTATTTCATCGAATGAATGAGTAAAAAAAGAACAGAACAGTACAAAACAAACTTTATAATTCAATGATATTTTATACTATTGAATGCCAATTATTCTATTTAATATAACAATTATAGAGATATATATATATGTATCATGTTATGAAAATAGAATGAATGAGGAATTCAATAAAAATTTTGATCCCATAGCAACAAATTTAGAAGAACATACAAAAAATTCTAAAGAAAATCAATCAATCAATATTATAAATACATTACATGATCAACAATTGTATAATAATAATAATAATAATAATAATAGTACTCAAGACTATAATACTATAGAAACTATTCTAGAACAAAATAATTGTGTACAAATCAATAATGAATTATTATTTCAACAAAATGATACATCTAATATAAAAGTATTTAATATTGTCCTTGAAGAAGAAGAAGATGATGATGATGATTTGGAATATAATCATAAAGAGGAGAAATCAACGGAACATATATATTATCTTCCATTAGCTATAGGGAATTCAAATACATCTAATGAAATATTAGGAAAAGAATTTATTACTACTTTAACCGATTCAAATTCAAATAGTATATCAGATAAAATTTTATATGATTTAGGTAAATCCTTAATGAATAGTCATGATGATGATGATGTGATGAATAAAGAAGAGTATTCAAAAGAAGTAATGAATGATTCATCTAAATTGATAATGACAAGTTTTGATGAGAATTGTTCTAATGTAGAAACTGTCAATACTAGTGTGACGACGATGACGACGACAACGACAACAACAACAACAACAACAACGATAGTTACTACTAGTTCTGTTATTACTAATATAACAACAAATACTACTAATATGATAACTACAACTTCTACACCTATTTGTAGTCCTAAAATTGATCTGATTACTGTAAATTTATTGAGTTCAAATGTTATACCAGAAAGTATAGCACAACAATTTAATCAAATAGCTAAACTTAATAAAAGTAATTTAAGTAGTAAACGAACAATTAGAACAACTACAGCAAAACTTAGTCCATTTACAGATTCTAAACGTCAAGCAAGTTTTGAAGATGCACATCTTACAGAGATTAATTCTAATACTGATTTAAATAAAAATATACAAAAGAATTTATTGAACGATACATATCATGCTCGATTTCATAGTGATGAAATAGCAACATTACAAGATTATGTTTTAAAACCTCAAACTGAAACTATTCTTGATTTGGAATATACTAATTTAGAAAATACTGATATTGATCATGTTAATTCTTCATCTAATACAGGATCTAATAAAAATAGAAACAGTAATGTATTTCGTAGTAAAAGTGCTTTAAGTACTTTACCACAAACTAAAAGAGGACAACGATATGATCATGGACATCAATCGGAACCTAGTTCACAAGGCACTGATTCTGTTTACAGACAGTCACCTCTTTTAGCCCATGAAAATGTATCACATTCTCAAGGTCAAAGCAGTGGTTTTACTGCTTCAGAAGAAGGTATGCTTTTAAAAATTTTCAAATTGTATACTTTTGAGCATCGCATTTGTTTTGATGTTAGTAAGATATCGAAGCAATAATGAACTTGGTTAATTTAAAAATTTATCAATCTCCTAATACTAATAAGGCTCAGAGTAATAAACGATGCAGTAACACGTAATGATTAAGATAATTAAAAGTAATTAGAAAATTATAACCAGAGAGGGGTTTGTGGATATTTTAGTAATTTAATAGTTGAATTCATGAGTCACTTGTCATCGTATGATCACTAATGACTGTCTCAAAGAGGTATTTCCTGGAGTCTTAATGAGAAGTAATGACCAGTGGAGTTCAACCAGGTCTGTTGTGAGATAGTGACTCACTGAAAACAATATTGGATGTGTCGCCCAATTTCTTGGATTAGTTGAAATTAGACATTAACACCTTTGGATGCCGGTCAGCTCAGTAGTCTGGCGGTTAAGCGCTAGCGTGAGACAGCGGTAAGTTCTGGTTTCGAATCTCGCGAGGCGGGATCGTGGATGCGCACTGCTGAAGAGTCCCACAATAGGACAAAACGACCTTCCAGTGCTTCCAGGTTTTCCATGGTTGTCTAGCTTCAATTGACTCACGAATTACTAAAAATGAATGTTTAAGTAACTTTTAATTCGTAGCAAATCAATTGTTATCAACACTGAACAGAAAATAGCTTATTCTATATCACAGTTATATTTGGACATTTGATAATTAGATCACGACAGAGGTTTAATTCTTTTTACTAATCATTTTGTTCTATGCAAGTTTCTCAATTTTAAAGACTTGATTAAAGTAATCATCTGCATTACATTATTATACTGTTTTGCACTACGGACAAACATAAGTTAAAATATCATTATAAACTAAGAAGCTCTAAAACAGGTTTTTCTTCACAGAACGGAACCACTTTGTAGTTAAACGTAATACTTCATCACAGATCGAACCCTAAACATTCAGATCTGTATTCAATCGCAATAATTTATAATATTAAGTTAACACCCAAGAGTATTTCATTTGTAAACTTGATTAATCTACTATAAGGTTCAACAAGCATTTATAACCATCAATGACAACGGACCTATTCGTAATGTGTCAAACTTCATCAATCACAGCTACACGACAGAGTCTCTAGAATTGTTCTTGTGGTCAGTTATTAGTGAGTATGTGCTTATTTTCTTTTATGTTAAGGTCACAATTAAATGAGTTCATCTATTATACAATACCAATGAACAGCTTTATGTAATCTAAAAGTTTTGTAAACATATATGCAACTTATCTACAAAGTAGTATTACGTGTTATTAGCTAGTTTGAGGTCGGAAAAATGAAAGTGTGGGTCTATTTGGCACGTATCAGCAAAGGAAACCCCTAGGTTTTAAGGAACTAATGTCCTCCTTGGAGTTTGAGCCTGCATGGTCCAGTTTCACAGTCTGAAACGTTACAAACGTGATATTCAGGCCACAACTGACATGTTATATGACTGAAATATTTACAATTAATTGAGCATTGACTAGTGACCAGTTTCACGTTTATTTGGTGATTTATTGTCGGTAGTATTTTATCGATCAATTATTAACCCATATATATATAATTAAGTTGCCTGATAATCCTCATATCTCTTCAAAATTTTATTATTAAGTAGATGTTACAAAAGTTATATTTTTTGTATTGACAAGAAGGCAACTAAAGGATTACTTTGTTTAAAATCATGAACCGATTAATGTTAAACTACAGTTGTAAACCTGGAAGTAGTGAACGGTCGTTTCGTTCTATTGTGGGACTCCTCAGCAGTGCGCACCCACGATCCCGCCCCGTGAGATTGGAACCCAGTACCTGTCAGCCTCGCGCGCGAACGCTGATTATTTATAAAGAAACTGTGAGAGACTAGTCAGTATGTTATACTTATTCAAAATGGAACGTAAACTCAATCAGGTTTTAGACTCAAAGTAGATCAATAAATAAACTATGGTAGTTAGAGATCTAACAAAAACTAGTCGTGGTTTTTTGCTAATTTGTTCTAAATATGTAGTAGATTAGAAGTTTATCTGGCTTTTATACAAGAACTATGTTTTGTATCATCTGACAACTGTGAATTACTGCCAATAAAAGCAGGAGACTTGTAAGTTTTCCAATTATTTAATTATAAGTGTCCTTAAATTATTCCTGGTGTACAATGAGACTATATTGTGTGTAGCGTTGAGATGCGGGTTAAAGTTTAAGTTTTACACAGAAATCTTAAATAAACTAATAAAGTTGTTAATCCTAACTGATTCATCTAATCAGGTTTATGTTATCGGTACATAGTCAACGCCTATGTAGATGCGTTATTCAGATTTGATTAGGAGCAGGCTGGAAGATTTGAAGGGATGGGGGTGAGGGAATTATGTCAAGTTCATAAAGTCAATAGCTTGATCTTTGATTTGTATAGACAGTCACAGATTATCAGATTGGCCTAAGCAAAGTAGCTAATATCCATGGTTGGAAATATAGTTTGAAATCAAACACAGTGAAACAGTTACTATTTGCTCTTTATCTTTTATTTACTTGTAAATATTGCTGTATTTTCATCATATTTTGGTGTTTTATAATCAAAGTGTTTAATAAACTTTGGATCATTACAATACTTATTATCCAGCAAATAATACATCATAATCATGAATTCAACTATTAAATTACTATGATATCCATAAAATTCCTCTCTGATTATAATCATCATATGCTCACTGATGACAGTCTCCAAGAGGTATTTCCTGGAGTTCCAGTGAGAAGCCGTGACTAGTAGAGTTCAACCAGGTCTGTTGTGAGATAGTAACTTACTGATGACACTGGTGGACGGTGGCGCAACTTCGTGGGTTTATTGATGTTAAATATTAACACCGTTGGATGCCAGACAGCTCAATGGTCTAAATGTTAAGCGTTTGCGCCCGAGACTGATATGTCCTGAGTTCGAATCTCGCGAGGCGGGATTCTGGATGTACGCTGCTGAGTAGTCCCACACTAGGACGAAACGGCCGTCCTGTGCTTCCAGGTTTTTCCATTGTGACCTAGCTTCAATTGCCTCATGATTTCAATCAAAAACTTAACAATCTCTACACCCCCTGAACTGATAATCTTAATTTATTCGGCTGTTATAATTAACATTTTCAGTTAGCATTTTAATACAACTGATATTGGATAAGATGTGGAAAGTTTATGTTCCCATATATGTACACAATATATATAGCTGTCTAAATTTACCGAATATTACCAACCATTTTGATAGCCGACTTTTGTGATAAACACAATTCCACCGATAAAATAGGTCAACATAAAAATAACCTATGATTCACCCACTAGTCATGATAGTATTGATTATCTTTATGTAACAATGATTGAAGTAGACTATTATGATGTATGATGATATACAGATTTAACCCTATAACAATGTGGATTGTAGAGATTTCATGTGACTAATAGGAGATCCTGGGTGGATGATACAAATTAACATAATATGTTATATAAAAATAAGACTGTTTATTCAATTGTTAAGATAAGAATTTTCCCGTTACTGATATTAAGAACTACAATCAATCGGACTCGGTTTTGGGATATGTGCTTCCTGAGCGATATTGCCTTATAGTCACAGGCATTTAAAAAAAAGTTGGATAGTGGTTCATGGTGGAATTCAGGACACCAGTTTCGTCGTATTAGGGCATCATCTACAGGATCGGCTCAGAATGTTTATGTGCTGAAAGAGTGAATGAGCAAATGAAGTTCATAACATTAAAAATGTGTGATTTGAACCCCTACCAATGAATTAGACTCCCTACCATGCAGTCTCTCTAGACTAAGAAGCTATGTGAATAGTGCTTTGGGTACATGGAGCAAAAGGCACTGGGGTCGAGCTCCGGTGTAGACATAAACACTGAAATGCAAATTCATTCAGTTGACGCGTATCAAATTGGACGAAACGGGCATTCTAGATGCCAGTGTCAACCATGACTAAACTATTCTTAAAATAGTTAACAATAAGAAATAGTTAACGGCAGAAATCACAAATCTCTTGTTACCTCATTTAGAAAGTCATAAAACGGTATACCATTTGAATCTTATTAAATTTTCAAGCCAATTAATAATTCTGTACGTAGTACTTTAAATGTATCATCTTATAATCTATCGGTAGGTTATTATCGTTAAAGCATTAATTCAAGCGTATGGTTATAGAAACTACATATATTCTGCCTACAATTCATATCTATTTGCTTTGAAAGGAAGTTCCTTAATTCCAAGATTGATCCTCAGTGGTATGCAAGACTAAATAATATTTGCAATGCTGAACAAAAAAAAATAGATATCTTCACAAATATTAGAAAAGCTAATATAAAGAGAGTGTTTCCTATCTGAAGTTTTCCATTATACCAGCCGAAAACAAAAACTTGACGTAGTGTTCGATTTCTATAAGAACTACAAGGAAGGTTTTGGAATCAAACAATTGAACTCAGAGCTTGTCTAACCAAGTGGAAGTTGATTATAGTTTGTATTTTTGACCTAATAATTGAAGATTGAGTGTTTGATTCATTGTGTCATTGCTTCAACTATTACGTTGAAAGGAGAGCGAGAGTAAAGATTTAAGTAGAAGGAAATCAATTCATCTTAATTCGTTAAGTTCTTGTCAGTTGCTTACAGCCTATAGCATTTAATGTTTATAATTAAGGAACTACTATTTGTTATAATGATCATTAATGTAGAATGGTTATGAACAAGATAAAGTGAATTAGTTTTTCATTATGGCTCTACACTATTATATATCTATACGATTTACAATAATGAAATGATACTCATCGAGTGGATACGTTATGTAATAATAATGTAGTGATATATCGACTATAAATAAACATTGAGTAATTAGAAGAAAGAGGATTAATCATAATCAAAGTAATTATTTGAAAATCAAGTAGTTGCTATGTTGCACAATATATAAAAAGAGAAGAAGGAACTACCTAAATGCTTT